TTGAACCAAGTCAGTATTACACCTTGCTAATCTTTACTCCTTTTTTAAAAAAACAAACAAACAAAAAAACCCCCACTTTCAGGCTTGCAAGCTGTTAGGAAAATACTTCCTTTTCATTAAATGAAAAAAAAAAAAGGAACTTTGCTTTTACCACAGCAGGGGCTGATTTCAGACCAGTGGGGTGAGCTAGAGCAGGGGCTGCATGAGCTGGTCATGTTGCACTGGACAGTTCCCCATCCACACACAATCACAGCACTAGACTCAGAATGACTCCTTGAAAGGCAACTGCTTTCCACCAGCCGCTCAATTCGACAGGGCTGCAAGCTCAGGAAATACCATTTACTACCCTTGGCTTCTCTGCACCTCGTGTTCCACTCAGCCAACCAAGTCAGTGGAGCCCTAATAGCAGTATTTATCCTTATGGCAAGTGAGGAGACATGGAGAAAGCAGGGAGGAAAAGATGGAAGGCACCCCAGAAGAGGAGTAAGGAAAGACAGACAGACAAAAGGGTGCAGAGCACATTTTGCAGAAAGCAGACTCCCACATCCAATAGGACTTGTTGTCTAAGCAACAAGAGCTCCTGGCAGACACAGCTGACTTCACTGAGAAAATGTTTGTTTTAATAAAGGATGGGGAGAAAACAAAACGGTGAAAAGAAAAAAAAAAGGTGAAAAAGAAGAGAGACATCGAAAGAAGAAGAGCTATGCAAAAACAGGAGGCAAGGGCAGAGGCCATTTGTCTTCCCCATCTATGGAAACATGAAGACACATGCCAAGGGAACAGCAGTAGTGAAGGGCAGCTGGGGACATCTGCGCCTTGCAGACCTCCAGGAGAGTACCTCCAGGAGAAATGCCTGCCTTTCCCCAGGAGCCCGAGGACTGCCCAACTGGGAGACAGGACAGACACTGGAGTACTCACAACCAGCTACCGCTGTTCTGCAAGATGCTGCACTTGCCAAACACGTCTCGATGAAAGTCACCTCATCCCAAACATGTAACATGAACAGTTTGGGGATTTCTCTTGAATCCAGGTGAAATGAATACAGATCATCCTGACATGATGCATGTCTCTTATTTCCTACATATTAAAGAACAAATCATAAACCCTGATATTTACCAGCTTGGACTTGCAACCAACTTTCACTTCGTATCCCCTTGAAGCCAAGGGGTAGGTCCCTCCAAAGTCTCACAATGAGCAGATCCATGCTCACAAATGCCACTCCTGCTTAGAGCCCCAAACACTTTCACAGGAACACCGCTGTACTCCAGCAACAGGGCAAGATCAAGCCTGCAGTTCTACGAACACCCAAGGGACAGAGGAGGCTGCCACTCCGGTGACAGCAGTTTCTAGTTAACCCCACGTTCCAAAATGTATTGCTGTTCCAAGCCAAAAATATAAATAATGGCATCAAACGTAGAAGGGTTTATAAAAATATGTCTTTCCACTGTTAACTGGTGGATAATTACTGATTATATATATATACACTGTTAATTCATTTTTGGAAATTGTAAGAAATAATGTCCAGCCCTCTGCAGTAAGACAAAGAGTCAGAAACGTGGGCAAAAGCTTTTGTATCTGCTGATGAAGCAGAAGAAAACTGTTTTCAAGTTGCCCTTCTGACTCCAATGTATCAACAATTTGCTGCCCCTGCCCCATGACTACATCTGACACCACCGCCCCGGCCTGTATCACGAGCTGAAAAGCGCTAGTCAGACTGCAAGATAAACTTGTCAACAGCCAGGCGCAGACACTCACATTCTTGCCCTACCTGCTTGTGAGTGTCAGCTGTTTGTCTGGGAGCAGTCCCTTGAAAAGCTTTTACTGAGGGAGAAACAGAAGGGGGGGATGCAGAGGGTATTTAAAACAAAAAAAAAAACACCAACAGGGAGGGGAACCCCACAAAGACTGCAAAGAGAAAAAAAAAAACACCACCAAAAAACCAACCTGTCCCCATCAGGTCCTCCCAACAACCTTCTTTATCAGAGGTTCATTGTCAATCAATTAGCCAAGGCAGCAGGGGTCTGTAGGAAGGGGGGTAGCTCCAGAGACAATGGTCTGCCCTGTTGTATTACTATTTAATCACTTTTCCTAAATAAATAAAGCAGCCCTGAGGTGCTGTCATGTCAAGGGAATTTATAACAAAAAAACCCTTCATTTTTCATTGGTCATTACTTTTCCTTCCCTCCCACCCCTGCGGGACTAGAGAGGGTTATTACTGTAGCCTTAAGTTCCATCTTTGTGTTGCTTGCCTTTGATTCCCACTCGGACCTTGCCACTTTCTGGCACTAATTTGTCAGGCCGAACAAAGGAGGGATTTGTACCTCCTGTAAGGTCTCAATTAGGAAAGGCTTCTGCTGTATTATGTGCCATTGGGACAGGACACAAAGACGGTAATTACAGGAATTTGCACTAAATGGCTGAAGAATTCACAGCAAAACTTTTCTTCCTCCCCCCTCCTCATCCTTTTCCAAGCTTACCCCTCCCAGCAGCCCTGGGGAAAACCGCTCTCAATGCCTGCAAGCTGTAATTACCAACAGCAGGCCCCTTAGGTTAAACAGCAGCCCACGCCGGGGAACAGCACAAACTGCCTGCAGGGAGCGAGGTACCCGGAGTCCCAGCTTGCTGGTCTGCCTCCAAAGCCTCCTCTGCACGAACTTAGTTCTCAGCCAGACAGGTTTCCCCTGTTTCTCCCAGTTATAATTACAATCATTCATTTCTTTGCACCACGGTAGCAGCTACAAGTTCCAGTTGGTCTCAAAGACCAACTCCAAGTGTCTCAGGCAGATGGCGAAGGGTCCATTCCTACAATAAGTGCCATGCATCCCCATCCTCCGGTACTGGGGCTTCTCACAGACTCCACAACTCACATTCCCCTGCACAAGAGGGTTTGTTCAGTTTTGCAGACTAAAAGGAGACCACAGGAGCACTGGGAATGCGTCGCATGTACCAGGAAAAGACTCCATACAATGCTGACATGGTCAGAGCACCCTATTTCTGTAGGGAATACCTGAGTGAGTGCAGATGAATCACCCCATGTTTGGGAGAGGAAATCCACCCTTTCCCACAGAAAGTCTGGTCCCATACTGTATATTACCAAATCTATTTCACATTGGAGACATGCATTTTGTTGCCATCCCAGGGCCTGATCCTATTTTTGAGGAGGTCACTGGGAATGTTCACTTGAAACTCTCCTGGACCTCAGTCTGAGGATGAAGCAAAATTACAAGTTACTACAGACCTTTGAATTTAAAGAAATGAGGAGAAAAGAATAGAGTTTTAATGTCGCCTGGGACAATGGGTATAAATTGAAATCAGGGAGGTTTCGATTAGATGTCAGGCAGAAATTCTTCACAGAGAGGGTGGTGAGGCACTGGAACAGGTTGCCCAGAGATGTTGTGGATGCCCCCCCCCTGGAAGTGTTCAAGGCCAGGCTGGATGTGGCTTTGAGCAACCTGGTCTAGTGGAAGGTGTCCCTGCCCATGGCAGGGGGGTTGGAACTAGATGATCTTTAACGTCCCTTCCAACACTAACCATTCTATGATTCTATGATCTTAAAGAAAGGATGTTGACTCTGCTGTCTTCCTGAGTTTCACAAGGCTGCCTGCTGGATAACACACTGGGCTGGATCCACCTTGGAGATACTTACCTGGCCCATTCCCAGAGTCTCCCTGCAGCTTTAACTCTCACAACTAACCCTGAAGGGAAGACATGACCATTGCCCAGTAGGCCCAGTTTCTGCAGTAGTTTGGCACAGAATAACCGCCAGAAAAACACTGACATGAGGTCAAACTGCAGAGTTTGTGGCCAAGAACAGAACTGGGTTCAGCCCCAAGGTTGTGAGCAAATTGTTAGGTGCAGTGAGGCCAACCCTCAACAATGCTCCAGCTACCTGATGTGTGCCATGCACTGTGGAGAGGTGAGCAGGAACACCGCCTGCGGGTGGATGCCAGAGAGGGACAGACCCAGCTGCACCCACAGCCAGTTCTGAGGGCAACCCAGTACTTCTGGGGCTCAGGTCTCCCAGGAAAGGGATTCATGCCAGCCAGCAGCCCCTGGGCTCCCCCAGAGCCATGTGTGGTTCCAGAGCCACAGGAGATCCCCACGTTCAGACATCCCCTCTACCCCAGCACAGAGTGAGGAGAACACAGGACCCTCAGAGCTCCCAAAACAAGAAGAAAACCCTCCAGAAAAGCTGTTTCTGATACAGCTGACAATTTGCAAGTGAACATAACTAAAGCCAGCCACAGAGTACAATTTAGGCACAATGTTCCCAAATTTGCTCCATAAAGGTGCCTTTGATGAAGTAAAAGGACAAAGAACTGCATTCACACGTGTCCTCTCTATTTTCACTTCATTCCCAACTGGATAAAATCATGCTCTTGCCTCAGAGTAGAGTCAAATGAACTGAGATTTACAATTAGATGCAGAGGCTTAAGGTCATGTTTTCACCTATGCCTCAAGGGAAGAACAGAGCAGATAAGCTCATGCCTGAACCTCAGCACTAGAACACACGTCACTAAACGATGGTGTTTCAGGGAAGCATATATACCTCGAGGAGTCACCCCAGAAGACCCAGGGCTGAAACCGAGCTCCAAAAACAACTTGGAGGTGACACAGTAATAAAAGGAAACAAAACTGCTAGAAGTTGGGAGGTTACATTGTACCCAGAATTCAAACCCCTTTGATTCTGGACCACTTTTCCAGTGTCCTGAAGCAAGAAAACAGCTCAGCCACCCTGTAAGGCAGCCCTAGCCCATGTGTGCTGTATGTTACATGAACAGGATCTGATGTTTCAGCACTGCTCATGAAATGCCCCTAAATACCCCATAGGCTTTTCTCCATATTTTACAGAGAGCAAAGAAAGACTACCACACCAAACTGTCTATGGCCACACGGGGAACCCCTATGTGCTTCTAAAACACATCCGTGCTCTTCCAAGTGACTTTTTTTTCCCCCTGCAGAAGGGGAGTGGGTGCAGGTGCTGCACACTGGTTGCTTACCTGCACACTTGAAGCTCTGAACTGTGAGCCCTCTCTCTAGAGACAGCGTGGTCAGGATGCTCAGGAAGCTGGTGGTCACAGACTGGCGCTTGCTCTTCCTAAGATCATTTCCAAAGGGCCGATCTCCAGGCTTGTTCCTAAGTGTGACCTGTGGGTTCTGAGTTAAACTGCGAGTAGCATTGGCTGCTGCTCTCAGTGCCTCCATCCACTCCTGGGCTCTCTGACGGGTCTCTGCACGCAGGCGGAGGACATCTTGAGGAAAAATGACCTGAAAGCAAGAGTCACAGCCATCCTGAGTATCTGTCTGGACAGACAGGCACACATCGACTTTGTAGCTCAGCAGGGGATCTTCATCAAGCCTACCCGGTTGGAATGCCATGAGATAAGATCTGTTCAAGACAAAAGTAAATGCCTTCCAGTTGTTCTGGACAGTTAACCTGTAAAGAGTCCCTGATTTGAGAATATTTTGGTACTCTTTAGTGTTTTCAGTCAAATTCATGGATAGGAAGAGCTCCATTGGCTTCTCCAACAATCCATTAGTTTGAGAAAGGTCACTGTTATTTTCAGGCTTTGGCACGTTCTCCAGTTTCTCCTGCTGTCTCGTGAAAGCAGGCACAGAAGCACGCACTCCTTCCCAGAGTTTCTGTCCCCAGTCCAAAGCCTCCCATGAGGACTCGGCCTTCAGCTGTAGCTGAGAGTTGTCTGACAGGACAGCGTCCACCACCTTGGTTTCAATGCAACCAGTAACTGTGACTCTCTGAAAATGCATGAGTGGATACACGGTGGGGAGAGTCTGGTTGCCACTGCTGTCCAAGCAATACAGGTACAGTTTATACGGAGAGAGCTCAGCATAACAGGTTTGCCAGTAGCTGTCATTGTCTCTTCTGATTTCTAAGTATCCCTTCTTCAGAATATTTGGGAACATTGGCTTGTGTTCTGGAGGAAACAAAATGAGAATAATACCATTAATTTTTTTAAACAATCGTTTCAAATTGCTACATCATTCTGGCCTGTACATCTCTCCTACTCGTACATGATACATCTGGAGGAAGGATCACAGACATAGTCTTCATCCAATAGGTTATAATTATCAGACGCAAGAGCTGACACTACATTTGAGCCAACAAGAATACAGCACATTGTTACTCAAAGGTAACAAAACCCTTTACAAAAAGGGGATGGAGAAACAGAGGGACAGAGAAGCAATGCAAATTTCCTGACATTATCCAGGAGAATAGTGACATAGCAACACAACACCACATCTCCCAGAACCCAGTCCAGAAGAGTACATTATCAAGTAATCTATTGTCAATTAAAATAGATTTTGACAGTGAGAATTAAAACAACACCTTCCCGTCCTGACCCCCTCTTTCCCAGGCTCAACTTCATGCTTTCACAGGGTTGTGGTCAGTTCCTCTCTGCTGCTCCTTCCTCCTCACACTTTTCCCCGGTTCCAGCATGGGTCTTCTCCAGGGGCTGCAGTTCTTCAGGATAAACCTGCTCCTGCATGAGCTCTCTGTGGCCACAGTTCCTTCAGGAAATCCCCACCTTCCCCAGCATGGGGTCCTGCACGGGGCTGTGGGGAGACACCTGCTCCACCATGATCTCCCCAAAGGGCTGCAGGGGAATCCCTGCCTCAGCGCTGCAGCACCTTCTCCTTCTCCTCCTCCCTCTCTGACCCTGGGCTGCTCCTCACACTCCCTCCCTTACACCTCACAGGGCTGTGCCATGCTTTGCCCTTTGGGAAAGGCACTCTGCCTGGGAGGGCCCATCTGCTGCTGGAACCATCTGGAACAGGCCGGAGCAGACCCCTGCCAGCACCTGGGCACTGCACCTGGCACCCAGCCATACCCAGGCCACAGAGAACTGCACCCAGACACAGCAGCTTCTTACCATGCTTCAGCACGACCCGGGACCAGACATTTTGCACAGCTCCGTTTACTGGCAAGGATCTTGGCTGATTTATGACAGCCAGGCTCAGGACCAGCAGACGTACCCCAAAATGAAAAGGAATCATAGAATCACAGAATGGTTTGGGTTGGAAGAGACCTTCAAGATCATCTAGTTCCAACCCCCCTGCCATGGGCAGGGACCCCTTCCACTAGACCAGGTTGCTCAAAGCCTCGTCCAGCCTGGCCTTGAACACTTCGAGGGATGGGGCATCCACAGCTTCTCTGGGCAAGCTGTGCCAGTGCCTCACCACCCTCTCCAGAAAGAACTTATTCCTGATATCTAATCTAAACCTCCCCACTTTCAATTTAAACCCGTTACCCCTTGTCCTGTCACTACAGGCCATTGTAAAAAGTGGGTCTCCCCCTTCCTTGTAGGCCTCTTCAGGTACTGGAAGGTGCTATAAGGTCTCCCCAAAGCCTTCCCTTCTCCAGGCTGAGAAGGGCCTGCGCACACTCCAACACACATAGCTAAGCGCCTCAGCGCTTCAGAGCAGACCCCTTCACAGGCCTCAGCCCACAGCAAAGTCCAGGGGCATTTTCTTTGTCCCCAGAAAACCAGCCATACGTGAGTCACTCCAGGCACCAAAGTGATACTAATTTAAAAGGAATTATCTAAAGCCTTTCTGAGCTTTAAAAAAGGTTTCCATGAAAAATTTGTTCCAATCTAATTTGTATCACTTCAGCCATCATTAATCCATGCAAACATTATATTTTCCACCTGGGACTGGACATTTGGCTCTATGCAATTCTTCTTCGTCCCTGTATAAACTCAGCGGCATTCACTGTCATGCTCCAGCACTGACTGCAGCACTTGGCACCCCAAAACAACCCAGCCCTGAGGAACAAATTCTTTCTTCCATTGACTTCTTCTTCACCTTTCCAGGAAGGGTATCTGTGATGGGTCTGGACTTACAAACTGGCAGAATTAACAGACACAAGTGAAGAGGTTTCTGCCTCCAGTTACCCATCTCCCTTGGAGACTGCTATTCCCAACACAGGAACAGGGTAGCCACCTGGGAACAGCTCCTCATCCACTGCCCGGCACAATTAGGTTGAAACAAAACCAGCACGAAGTGACCTTAACACGCAGCGTTACAAACCGCAGCAACACAGGAGCTGTTTCACTCCTGATTTCTGCCCTCAGGCTGACAACCTTTGAAAGAGGGACAGGGCAGGCAGCTGCAGGCACAAAATATTTTCAGTGTCTCAGCTTAACCAGTTACCACTCACGTTAACAAGCCATGCGCTGACACGTTTTAGACATAACTACCTCTGAATATACCCAGGATGTTTTCAGCGCAGAGCTAAGAGAACAGAAGCATCTGGGCTTGATGGAGGCTGGAAAGGAAGAGCCAAAGATGAGTCTGTATAGGAGTCACTGTATCCCCGCCTGTACTGGGCTTCCCAGCTAACACGGCCAGGACTGCTGGCCAAGCTGTCTCACCACTGCCAGCTAATAGGTGAGTCTGTACTACCCTCCCAGGGGCACCCGGAGAGTCAAGACAAGTATCTGAGGGAATTAGTTACTATCCAGAGTTTCCAGTACCAACTGTTAAGAAAGCAGAACTTGGGCTGTAACCTGCAGTCCTAGATGCTCCCATCCTTGGCTGAAAGCATTGCTGTGGTTGGTCGTGAGACTTTTCATATATGGATGAAGAGGATTTTAAGAAGATTCAGGACAGCAACAGCGTAAAAGCTTTGGCTAGCCCTTCAGTGAAAACAACTTTAGGGATTTATAAGGATTAAGTAGACAAGTTTCAGTTAAACATAATACATGTGAATTAATCGCTTGATAGACCTAATGTGAGTATGCAAACCTGATGGGGGTTAAAAAATGGGGAAGGATGCTACCTCCCATCCACACTAACAAAAAGGATACACTTGGGTTTCACCTTGCCAGCTCAGCCTCAGCTTCCCCACATCACCCACTTACCTGGAATGGAGCCTGCATTTAACACCATGTTCAAAGCATTCTACCTACAAAGATTTCCTGCATATATGAGTAAAATCATAACAACAATTAAAAAATTGCTACTTTGGCACTAGGTCTGAAAAGGTGGAAAAGAAATCAATACAACTATACCTTGTCAACAAATAAGCCACTCAAGAGTATTTCAGCTAAATAGGAAAACTGAAAGCCTAATCTAAAACTCAAAATAGTAAAGAAAAAGCACATTTCATAGCCCAAATGGACAGATACACACACACACACTAAAAGAGAACCAATTTTGTTCACCCTACATCTCTGGCCCTGACATTCATTAGTATTTCTGCGCTAACTCAAAAGCCATTAATTTCTGTGAAACCCACACTAATCCCTTTGTAGTGCAGATAATGGACAGCCATTCTACAGTCATCTTCCCTTTCTATTAATCCAATCAGGGAGGCAGCGCTTCTGCAGCTCCAACTGCAATCTCTCTCGCTTCCATCAGGTACAGATGACAGTTCAAGCTTCTCCATAATAAGACGACTCGTAACCTTCCCCCAGCCACCCCTCCTTCATCTGCACACAGGTTTGCTTGTCTTTGTTGAGTTAGAGAAAGGTTATCTCTCCCTGCCTTTCACAGGGGCACCCCCCTCTCCCTCCTTCGTCCCACTCCTTCCCTCCCATCTCCTGTTAATCGGCTTCACTGACTCTCACTCTAACTGGGACAGAACCAGCAGCCAATTGATTAAAATTCAAATGCCTCATATTGTTTGGGTCAGGGCAATAGATGCTGGCAGAGACAGGTTGAATCCATATGCTGCACACACGCCTTACAACCTGGATAGGTTGTAAAGGAGCTCTGCTCCTTTATCTCCTCGACGTGCAGTGTACCAGATAATACCTTTCCACTCAGAGAGCAAATGCTATCATCTCTCCATCACCTTCCAAACAGAAACTGCATCTCTCTTCCTCCCTACAGAGACAGGAAGAATAAATAGAGGAAGAGTAAAGGGAAATAATCACAGTAAATGGCCCACATCTGAGCCATTTGGGTTACAATTTCAAGGGAAGAGGGGGAAGGATGCAGAAGGAAACAAAGAGAGACTCAGTAGATGGGGACAGGGCAATATCTTCCTCAGCATCTCTCCTATCCTCTGGGAACTGCCCGCTTGTCCTGGTCAGGAACGCTGCACCGAGCACACACCTACCCCTCCCCACACTTGGGGCAGTTGGTGCAACCAGCACTGCAGCAGAGGAAGCCCAAATATTGTCTTATCATGTCCAGAAGATACGTGCTCCTGAACAACTGACTGTACTTGCGTCCCTCTTGGTACTGCAGGAAAACTTGTCCTGTTTTCCACCTCTGAAGCATTTCTGATGACAGTAATACTTGGAAAAGAGCAGAGCAGAGATGCCTGGTTTCTGAGGGGCTTGTTTCTTGAAGTGTCACTCCTCTCTCTGTTTTCACTAATGCTTAGTAAGGGATGAGTGTAAGTTACAGAGTTTTTGTCAACAGTCCTTCTCTCTGATCTCCACAGAACTCAACAGACACCTTTGGGACCTAAAACGCTCTCAATTTGGGTTGGGATAGTCATCAGCTTGGTGGGGTTGGCTACATCAGGGACAAACTGCCTCAGACAGCGTGACTCAGATCCACAATATCCACTTCCCTCCTACTTAAAAATAGTCTTTTCTTCCCACCTATTTTCCCATCTGGCTCTGCAGGTATATCTTTCAGGCAAGTGTATCTGATTCTACTTGGTCTTGAAATAATGGCATTGATATTAAACCACAATTTCCAGCAGGTAGCTGTCCTGGAGCCAAATCTGGCTGCTTCTCCCAATGCCACATCTTTTCAAGGGATCACTGCAGCAATGGGACTTGTAAACAGGTAGCAGTTTGCATTAATTTATATAAAGAAACAGCATCTCTCCCCACCAGAAGGGCATTCACTCTTTTTCACCTTTCTTGGGCTTTGGGAAAGCAACAGCTGTTCACCAAAAAGACTCCTCAGTGAATGAACTGCCTAAACAGACGGATGAAGAACCTGAACAAAC